CACACACACACACACACACACACACACACTAACACCTTCAAAGACAGAGCAAGCATTTATATATTAAGATTTTAACAAAGTCCAAAAATAAAGGAACCAGAGAACTTGAGGAAATGTCCAGAAGCAAACTCCTGAAATGTAGGCTATTTCTCTTCTACAAGCATAAGTGATGAAATCACTCTAGGCACCCGAAACTCACATGTGTTCCAGTGAGTTACAGGTGAGATGACAGATTCAAGTATTTGGCTAAACTGGTTCTACACTGAAACTAGCTATATCTGCTTTTAATTACATGAGCCTATAGTTTGCATTATTTAAAGGGACAGTTCACTGTAAAATATAAATTCTGTCATAATTCACTTAGTTAGACAGTCTCAGTCATAATTCACTTTTATTGCAGTTGATGCAATACAGTGAATGGTGACTGAGGCTATCAGTCCCTCACATTCTGCCCACGATCTCTATTTGTGTCCCAGAAAAGAAACTGACACGTTTGGAACAGCATAAGTTTGAGTATGATGACAGAATGTTCATTTCTGGATGAACTGTCCCTTTAAGCAAGTTGACAATCAATCAAGTACAATCCAGCAGAAAAATGTCAATTTTCATCAAATGTCATAATATTGGAAATGGTTTCATTGTAAATACTCTGAAACTTCTACCTTCGACAAGAAGATAATACTAATGCATGCAAAATGTGGTCAAGAAACGCCCAGTTATTAAACTAAAGCGTCCCAGAAAAGAAACTGACACGTTTGGAACAGCATAAGTTTGAGTATGATGACAGAATGTTCATTTCTGGATGAACTGTCCCTTTAAGCAAGTTATTCATCAGCAAGCAACTTTAAAAAGAAAACCTTTACATTAAAATTGTGTTTTAAGTTTACAACATGAATGAATAAATCTGGCACATACGTTTGGAACAGCATAAGTTTGAGTATGATGACAGAATGTTCATTTCTGGATGAACTGTCCCTTTAAGCAAGTTATTCATCAGCAAGCAACTTTAAAAAGAAAACCTTTACATTAAAATGGTGTTTTAAGTTTACAACATGAATGAATAAATCTGGCACATAATATAGGCTATAGAAAATACTCAATGCAGACTAATGCATGCAAAATGTGGTCAAGAAACGCCCAGTTATTAAACTAAAGCTTTCCTTTCGGCTGGTTACACAACTTTTTAAGCTCATGAAAAATGTATCTCCACATTCAACGTAAGACATACAGTACAAGACAACTAACTTCCTTCTTCAGATATTATCATGACCTCATTTTGACTTCATCCTTTCCACGTTAGAGCAGCATTCCTGTTAGTTTACAAATGTACACACTCCTGTCAAATGAGATTTCCATTTCCTCATAATCACATAAGCACATGTTTGACTAATCACATGTTTTTTCAAAGCTTGCAATTAAAATTACCATACTCACATAACCCAAGTTCATTTTTTAACTGCTCTATTAGTGATCACTCTAAGAAAGCATTAAAAATGCATTTAAGTATATAAGCAAGCATTTATATATTAAGATTTTAACAAAGTCCAAAAATAAAGGAACCAGAGAACTTGAGGAAATGTCCAGAAGCAAACTCCTGAAATGTAGGCTATTTCTCTTCTACAAGCATAAGTGATGAAATCACTCTAGGCACCCGAAACTCACATGTGTTCCAGTGAGTTACAGGTGAGATGACAGATTCAAGTATTTGGCTAAACTGGTTCTACACTGAAACTAGCTATATCTGCTTTTAATTACATGAGCCTATAGTTTGCATTATTTAAAGGGACAGTTCACTGTAAAATATAAATTCTGTCATAATTCACTTAGTTAGACAGTCTCAGTCATAATTCACTTTTATTGCAGTTGATGCAATACAGTGAATGGTGACTGAGGCTATCAGTCCCTCACATTCTGCCCACGATCTCTATTTGTGTCCCAGAAAAGAAACTGACACGTTTGGAACAGCATAAGTTTGAGTATGATGACAGAATGTTCATTTCTGGATGAACTGTCCCTTTAAGCAAGTTATTCATCAGCAAGCAACTTTAAAAAGAAAACCTTTACATTAAAATTGTGTTTTAAGTTTACAACATGAATGAATAAATCTGGCACATAATAGGCTATAGAAAATACTCAATGCAGAGGAAATATAAATATACAACTATTTAAGGCTGCCTATATAATAATAACAGTAAAACTCACCTTATAGACGTTCTCCGTTATACGGTGCACCTCTTCGGTCCGGGACATTTTGGAAGCTTGAGTCAGAACCATAGACGAGAATTTGAATTTCTTCTGCAGGAAAATGTTTCCGAGAAAACACAGGAGGAGGAGAGGAGAAGACACTGTATCATTCAAACAGAGAGTGTCAGAGGCAGAGGAGGATGCGGGAGCTTTTATACGGAACTCTCCCACTGATGCCCACGCGCAGCCGCCGGAGTGGCGGGAATCCACCGTACGCGTTTATCCTCGTCACTGGAACTGCGCTTGATCTTCAAACGGACTCCGCCTTTTCTCCTTCTACGCTGCGAGCGAGCGGCGCGACGCGACGGAAGAGCTTCCCTGGTTCTAATGGGAGCGTTCGCGTGACAGAGCTGCGGACGTGTGATGATAATTTACTACCAGTGTTGGGCTCGTTACTCAAAAAATGTAATATATTACTCTTACTACAACATTGTGCCGTGTGCTTGCAGTGTATACTGTTGTCATAATGGATAAGGTTCAAGTTTGGCGCGACGCTAAGCTGTGTAGAGGAGTTAAGAACAATCTGTTCCTCAATCATGATGTTTGTATGGCGGAACCCACTCTTTAGTGGGGGGGCTTTTGATTCATTTCAATGAACTGAATCTTTGAATCCCCTGTTCACTAAAAAGATTCATTCACTGAGAATTTCTCCCGCTTATTTTGTTCGCCAGTAGGTGACGAGCTGTTTTTATACAGTCTATGGTGACGAGTGACGACCGACAATGAACGAGTCATTGAATCATTCAATGAACCGATTCGATAAAAAAACACCGAGTTATAAACAACCAAATCAAGTCATTATCATTTCGTGCATACAAATTTACAGATAGTATTTACTGAAAGTATATCATTTTCTTTTTGTCATCATGTGTGGGCATAATTTACATATCAAGCTAGCAGTAACAGCCTAAATCAGTTATTGAATAATAATTATACATCTAAAATAAACCAACGTATATAATATAGAATCATTTTAAAATGGTGTAAATTAGGTTTTTGTCATTTAAATTGTGTATGGACATCAGTCATTTTTATTCAGAATTCTTTTATTCACACATTTGTTATTCATAATAACTGTAAATGACAAGTTTACAGTTATGCAAAGTCAGTGCATGAAAATTAATTTGAACGATTCTTTTACTTAAAGGATTCAAAGAAGTAAGTAAGAAAAACGTCATCACCTCATGTATGACTTTCGTAATATTTTATAAACGTGCTATTAGAGACATTTAATAGTGGATTTTTATGTAAAAATTACAAATCGGTCTCTAAAAATCAGAGGTTAGATGAGGTCTTTTGTTGTTTTGAGAAACATTGCTTTATGGTTGTGTTCCCAGCATCATCATGACTACATCACTCTTGGTGCAGCTATCACCCAAGGACTGGAGGAGGATCAGATGAGATGAGTACAGTAGTGGGCACTGCGCAATTCATGCGTGGGTCTGTACGTGTGATGTAGGCAGGGATTCCTTCATGTAGCCTATCTCTCAGCAGCTCCTACCCACACCACCAACACACAGTTTCCCCTGCTGCACTCTCCCTCTCTGTACTATCATATAATGGAGAACTACAACTACACAAACCAAGAATACAACCACATTCAGGACTGAGGGCAGATCATGTAATCATATAAGACTCCACAATTGAAAAACCCACACTGATCAACCACTGAATATTGTGAGTGTACAAGAATATTTATGATAAAAATGTAGTTATTATTTAAGTCACCTTTATTTATATGGCATTTTATACAACACAGATTGTTTCAAAGCAGCTTAACAGTAATAAACAGCAAAATCAGTGTCGAAGTTAAAACGTTAATCAATCATGAAACAACTTCAATTTTAGCTATAAGCAGCTCATACAATAGTGTCATTATTAAGCTCAACTCAATTAAGTTTTTGTGTTCCCATCCGATAGCGTCAGTACAATTATTATCAATAATTGTACTGACCCAATAATTGGTTTAATCTGGTCAATCACATTTTATACAATAATTGGTTTAATCTGGTTTAATCACATTTTAATGTGTTTACATGCTGCTTAAATGGGGGCTTAAAAGACAATTAAGCCCCCATTTAAGCAGCATATAAACCTATGACCAGATTAAACCAATTTTTGGGTTCTAGAACGCCGAATAAAACAACTGTCGTGTGGCTACATTATTTTGAATTTTTTTGTCAAGTTACAACCTTATTCTAATTAGCCACTGTAACTGAACATTCATTCGTAAATGAATTTAAAATTAGTAATTTCAAACATTTTGAAAATTCAAGCTGTTATAGAAACCCATTTTTCTTTACTATTTTATACACACTTTTAAACAAGCATCATGACCTCCCTTTTTGCAATTAATCCAAATGTATAATTAAAAAAGTCTTATTAGTTATCATTGCAGACATGAAGAATTAATTCATTAGTTGATTAGACTGCTGTCAAAAGTAACCAAAATGCAGTGTAATAAACAAGAGCAAGGATGTATAGCATGAAAAGAATGTTCATTTCTAGTTTCTTCTAAATTACATGTATGCAGTAATAGTTCAATAGGATCATAAAGTTAACCAAAAAAAGCATTCCAATTGTAGTTCAAACTCTGTTCCAGCACACCTGCATGTAATTTTCAAATGAACCCCAAAACCTTCATTATCTAGATTGTGTTGATTACAATTAGAGCTGATTTTCACAGGAAGGTAGATCCCGAAGAGCAGGACTGAGCACCCCATGCTCTAGTTTTTCCCCGTTTTAAAGGTCAAGCGAGAGAGTAAACTGCATTTAATGGTTTGCGTGCTCCTTGATTGCAACGGTCAAGAAATCCAATCTGTTACAATGGACAATTTCCTTTCTTTGTTTCTTTTTCAGCCAGCTGCACATATACAACTCATGGAGGTTACTGGCAAATGCGTATAACTTTAGAGATGCTTCCGTCTAGAGGCCACATCGATTGATTTAACATCACAGTGGAGGTCTTATCTACTGAATCTATCAAGACCAAATGTAAAGGATAAATAAAAAGCAACAAAGCAAAACAGAGATCAATACAGACATTTAAATCCAGCATCTCTTTAGAACAGCTGTGATTAAGAGAAGCATCTTTTGAGCTCTTCCGTGTAAAAACATGGAAAGCTTACTTTAAATGTGGGATGAGAAAAGGAAAAATGTAATTTAATTCAGATTAGATGAAGTTAGAAGCTGATCCATATTTGAATATAGACTTTAAAGTCAAACATGAAGGATTTAAAACTGTTTGTAGGAGTCCTAACTCATATTATGTAGGATATCTTCAGTTTATTATTTTTTAGAAAGCTCATTTTCTGTATTTACCATACATTCTTCACACCTCCCTTGTTCACTGGTCAAAGTCAGATGTCTGACAATGTAACAGTATGAAACTGCTTCACATTGAGCTCTGGTGGAGCCATTCAGACTCGTGGGGCAGCCGCCCACTCCCATATAGTGCTTTGTGTCAGGCGAGATAAGAGCAGCCCCAGCTCAAACCGGCTGGTTCCAGACAATGGACTTCCAACTAAGCAATACAGGTACTTGTTTTTTTTGGTCAATACCTTTCAAACAATGGTTTAATTTAGGCTTACTCAAGAAAATCTGCACACTAGTGAAATACGCTGTAACCAGTTACCTGGGTTGCAGCTGTAAATCTCAAATAGTATTTAAAAGAATTAATAAAAAATAAACGTTGATCCCAAATATATTGCTCAAATGTTTGGGGTCAAAAATATTTTTTAAAGAAGTCACTTATGCTCACCAAGGCTGCATTTATTTCATTTAAAATACAGTAAAAACGGTAATATTGTGAAATATTATTACAAGGCAAAATAAGCATTTTCTATTTTAATATTTTTAAAAATGAAATTTATTCCTGTGATGGAAGAATAGAATTTTCAGCAGAAGTTACTCCAGTCTTCAGTGTCACCTGATCCTTTATTATTTGTTTATTTGTATTATTATTATTACTTTTTTTTTGTATTATCAATATTGAAAACAGCTGTGCAGCATAATATTTTTTTTAGGATTCTTTGATAAATATTTGAAATATTATTTTTGTAACAAAAGTATTTACTGTCACTTTTGATTAATTTAATGCATATTTGCTAAATAATAAAAAAACCAATTATTTCTTTAAAAAAAATCTTACTGCCCCTAAACTTTCTAAGCGATAGTAGTATATAATGTGGATTGATATACGAGATATTAAAGAGATCTCATTCGTGTATGTTTGTTAATTTAATTAAGATTTGACATATCCGTTTGGAGAAATGCATGATAACTACCTGCAGCAAAGCAAACCCTTTGATTTGGCCAATCTGCCAGACTTGTCCCCAACACAGCTTGCATTACACTGCTGCCTAGTGGCCACTACATGAACTCATTTTCTTGCAGGCACAACAGTGATGAAAAATGATTACATAAAATGTAGTTACAGAACTACAAAATGAAATAAGGAAGATAGACCATAAACTAGCTGAACAGTGAATTCACAGAAGTTTTCAGAGAGCTAACATGTAACAAAATTGATAAGACCTCAAGTTCAAATAAATCAGTGCATTAGTCACAAACCAAACTATGACAGAAAAACAATGTTCAAATGTCATTAGTTTTGCTTGTATAGATCATGTCCTTGTATCTTATGTATGCTTCATTAAAACAAAACAGTGTGTGTGCAGCATAATGCATTGAGGATTTGACTACTTTCCTCTCAATAAGAAGTGTACACTAGTGGTTTTGTAAACTTCAAACTGACATTGCTGCTGTATTATACCTGCATTTTCCTTCAATGATGTCTCTTTAGTCTTTATCTATCTATAAATCAGTTTTTACTACTTAAACCAGGCTTGTCATAGTTTTTAATGACATCTTTCAGCACACTGAAAAGTTTGTACAAGTTTATACTGGACATACTGGAATTCATAATGAAAATGCTTCAGTTTTGTGTTCTTTGTGACAAAATATGGTGGATTTGAACACTAATGTTTGGGGATCATTTTTATCAGAGACTGTTATAATATAAGTGATGCATGCATTAGAAAGTTACAGGCATTGACATGATACGCCTTTGATATATAATTAAAAGATCAGACAAAACTGTAGGGTGATTAGAAAGACCAGGCACTGTTAAAGAGTATTTCAGAATAATCATCTAAACTAAATGGCATACAGTATGCAGTGTATATACAATTAGAAAAATGGCATGATTGTAGATCTTCAACATATATGAGAGGGAGGACTGTCAATCACTAGTTTTGCCTGGGATGAGCCCTTGGGTTCTCTAGGGGAACGGCTCGAGAGCAGACATGGAGGTATGATAAATCTGTATTTACGTTGCCAACATCTCTCGCTCTGGCTTCTTTTTCACCCTCTCCTTCTCCCGCACTGAAATATTACAAAAATGTTTTGTTAGCATTTCCATACTGTGCAATGCATGTATAGTAATTACCACAGAAATAGAGAAGAAGAAAACACAGACCTGGCTCTTGCTCTGGAACCTCTGGTAGTTCCTCCCCAGGCACCTCAGGAAGTTCAAGGTCAGCTTCTCCCTGAGCACACGTAGGACATGTATAAGGTAAATGAAATCACAACATCAGTAACAAGAGCTGTCAGAGAGTATTCATGTACACACCTGAGTGATGGCCTCCAGCTCTGCTAGCACAGCCTCCTCATCCTCCTGGGTCAGAGATCCCGCCAGCATCTCATCAATTTGCTGCACACACACAGACAACCAGGAATGAGAAAAGAACACTATATAGCGCACACAAGATTGAAATGGCAACAAAAAGAGACACAGCATGTCTGTGAAAGATCTCCCGCTGCCTCTGTTCCTCTAGATTTGAGGCTGTAGTGCATTGTAGTAGATTGGAAAAGATCATTACAGCCTTTATGGCTTCTCATCTTTAATTTTTTATTATTATTATTATTTTAAAATGATTAGACTTGTGATTCCTGTTATAGTAACATAAGGTAAAAACAATAAGAGTAGCATGCTAGTATGTAGTTTCGAATTCAGCAGGTGTCAGTCAAAAACTTTTACTGCCATGTGCTCAAATAAAGATTAGTGAAAGATTGTGTTGCACATATAAATCTAAAGAAAAATCTGACATCCCTACAGTACACTGAAAAATTTTTCTTGAAACAATTTTTACTCAGAAATTGCTAGTACATTTCACAAATAATTACAAAGAAATGGCAAGTAACACACTGAAATCTTGTAAACAGACTCAAAAAAACAAATTTTTTTCATTTATATATGGAAGTGTACCAAAAAATAATGGTAATAAAAATAAATAAGTTATATGAACAGTTATATGGTTATATGGTAAAATTACTATTACTAAGGCACTAATGAAATGATCACTGATCATTATGAACTCTTTGAACAGAATGTCAGATGTTTTTGGGACATGCCAAATACTTTGCATTAATGTTTTAATTCAGCTGTTTACTCATTGTAATTTTGTCAACAGAAATATAACAGAGTGAAAAATTGAAGGGGGTCTGAATACTTTCCGTACCCACTGTGTATATGTGTATATATATATAAAAATATACTGTGTATATATACCGCTGTATATCTGAATGTATTCCTATATAAGGGTCTTATAACTTTTACTGATTGTTCAAATTTAAATTTACCTTCTGATACTCAATGGAATCATGTGTTTCATCCATGATCCTCTCCACCTCCTCTAAGGACAGCACCTGGTTAAGAGGAAAAAGAATAGAGATACAATGGGGTGCATGTTAAATTCACCAGTAGACTGTACTAAGCATGACCAAGAATATCATAAATTTCTCATTATGTACCTCATGCATTTTCTTCAGGCAATCATTGCCAACTTTCAGTCCTTCAAAGACTTTCATCTCTATTTGTGCAAATTCAATATCTTGTACCTGTAAAATAAAAAAATATTTCTGGATGTAATATGCATGAATAATGGCAGACAAGCTAACTTTCATCTCTATTTGTGCAAATTCAATATCTTGTACCTGTAAAATCAAAAAATATTTCTGGATGTAATATGCATGAATAATGGCAGACAAGCTAAAAAAATATAATAATAATACAGAATATGGTGCAACACGTCATATACAATATTCTCTAAGATCTGTTTTATTTACCATCCGCTCCAGGTTGCTTATCTGATTTTCAGTTTTGTCCAGTAACTGATCCTGGTAACGTTTCTTTTTGAGGAGTAGGAGTGCTTTCCTGAACGAACAGAAAATATTATGAAGGATTCTGCTTGTTTTGGAGACTAGACCTCCTAGTTCGACGGGTACCAGGAAGAGAGACATGATCACACTCACTCTTTCTTTCCATCTTTCAATAACTGTTTGGCCAGCTGTCGCTCTTTCTGCATCTGAAGCGTTATCTTCTTCTGATACTGCTTCAGTTTATCTCTCTGCTGCTTTAGTTGCTGCTCACACACAAATAATAATATAGAAAAATTAAAGCAAAAAAGAGACAAAATGTACAGTTATGGCCCTATAGCTACATTATACAACACAAAACTGCAGTTTCACTTTTGGAGTCCATTTGTCAGTCTGCATCAACACAGAACCCTGGTGGTACAGTGAAACCCACCATTATGAGACTAACACACACATACATACACTATATATATATATATATATATATATATACACCTTTTTCTTGTCGTAAAAATGGGCGCGGCCATTTGTAAATTGTATGGGTCTGGCTTCCGGTCTCATCTGCGACCACTCCGTCCAGCTATTTTTAGCTGAACAAAACAGTTCGTTTTGCTGCTTGATATTGAAAGTTGTTGTGTCTTATCATATTATTTTAATGTATTATCTTAATTATGAGCACACTGGTTTGTAGTGCAAACAGTTTTACCGTTTACTGCACGTTGTTATTCTCCTCGTTATTTACCTAT